AGTTAACCCCCCCCCCCGCCCCTGCCAGGGACAGGGGCAGCGCTCGGGGCAGGGGGGAGCTGGGGAACCACTCACAGGAACCCAGTGCTGTTGGAAGCCTTTCACCTCTGCAAAGCTTGGGGTTCCTTCCAGCTATTTAGCTAACTCTCTTTAGGACACCCCTAATTAACCCCTTCTCTGCTGAACATCCCCCTCCAGCTTTTCCAGCCAGCTCCACACCATACCCATGAACACATACCCAGTGGGAACCTGCTGGCTGCCAATTAACTGGTCTCACTGAGAGGCAATTAAGCCTAGGAAAAGATTACGTTTGTGCTAGAAGCTGCTGTCAGAACAAAGAGCAACCGATCAGCTGACAGCTGGGGCAGCAATAACAAAACACTGCTCGGGTAAGGGCAGCAACCAGCCACGGGGAAGGGGGAGAGGGTGAAGTGATGAAATTACGGACACGGCGATCAGCAGCAACGCTGGCCACCCGCTGCCTGGGCGATGCTGCTGTCTGGAACGTGTCGGTACAACAGCAATTTCCCAGGATGTGGAGGACTTGCCCTAAACCCCAGCTCTGGACAGAACAGCTCCCATCCCAACCCTCCCTGAGACAGGTTTATACCCACCAGCGTGGCCTGCATCCAGCCATCCCCCAAAAAGCAGCACTGGGAGTGCGTGATGCCCTGTGAGGGACCAGAGCCATCACAACCTCCTCCACGAGCATCCCTTATCTCCCCGGCCCATGCACACCCCGAAACCATGGGGATGCCCCAGTGTGCAGCCAAAATTAATGGGAACTCACATTTGCCATCCCTCTGGAACCCTCCCCAGCCCAGCTGGTCGCTCCCTTGGCTGGGTTTTACTGGTGGAGAGCACTCAGCTCCCCCAGTCCCGTCCTGCCGAGCCCTGTCCCCGTTAGCTCAGCTGTCCCGCTGCGTTTGCGGCAGTGCAGATCATCGGAAACCCGGTTTCTCTCGGGGTTTGGCGAAGCAGTGGGTCTCTGGCAGCGCAAGTGCCCTGACATGTTCTCTGGCTCTCTCCCTCCGTCTGGGATGCCTCATCCTACAGGTAGAGCAAGTTAATAATTAACCCGCCTCAGCCCCTGCAGCCCAGCCGTGGCTCCCCGCTGAATCACTAACCCTGGCAGCAGGAAGAGCTCAGCTTTGCAAGGCTGGTGCCCTGGGGCTCCGAAAGCTGCTGTTTAATGATAAAAGAAGAAAACAGAAGCACGCTCTTCTGGCACATCCTTCCCCCTCACTTTTGCTGTGGAACCGTAACTGAGAAGTGTGGGAAACGGGGCAGGAGGCTGGGGGAGCAGACGGTCCTGGCTGCACGTGCCAGCTGCCCGTGGCAGGGTCCAGAGCAGGTCTGGTTTTCAGGGATGTCCCCCTCCCCAGCCCCAAACTGCCTGCCATGGCCAGAGGTTTGGTGGCCCCATCTCCCCTGAGTCCCGCAGCGACAGCTCCTCTCTAACCTGGCCCCGCAGCACCCGGTCACCTCCTGGAGGTGTTTCTCCTGAAAAGATGGGAGTGGGAAAGGGACAAAACCACGTCTTTCTCCCGGCCACACAAGAAGCTTGTGGCTGAGCAGAGGGTTTGAACCCCATCCGCCGCAGGGCAGCATCTAAACACCCTCTCCGCCCTCCCTCCTTCCCCAAAGAGATCTCACACTCGCTCGTGCTCCTGAATGAATAATCTCCCGGTGACCTTTGTTCTGTCGGCTTGCAGGATTCATTTTCCAAGATGCACTAACGTGACAGCTCTCCCTGCTGCCCCAGGACCCGCCGGGCGCCTGGTCCCACAAGGTGCTGCCCAACCCTTCTGGATGCTGAACCTCGCAGGGACCCGTGCCCACGCCACATGCCTGTTACCCTCATTCACAAATAACAGGCAGGACTGTGAAACCGTCCCAGTTCTGCTGTGCTTCCCTCCAGTACAGTTCAGGACATGGCGCTCACCCATGGCCACCTCACCAGCCAGGAGTGGGATCCCAGCCCTGCTCCTTTCTCAGGCTCACACGAGGAAAAGCGAAGCTCCTTTGGGCTGGAAAGGGCCAAACTGGGAGCAGCAGAATGGAAAGGGACCACAGGGTCCCTGCTTGTGGAGAGCAGACCTTTGAATTTCCGCAGCAACCCCAAGTACATCAGCAGGGCTGCTCAGAACTGGGTCCTGCAATGCACCAAGCCCTCCACAAGCACCTCATCACCAGGGAAATCCTCCTACCCAGCAGCCTGAAACCCGAGAGATGACATCCTCCTGCTGACCTCTGAAACGATCTCTGTCGAGCTGTGAGTCCCTGCCTCAGTTTCCCCTTCCTCCACATGCACATCGCCCATTCGCCATGCAGCAGGACCCCAACAGACCCCTAAGCTCGGTCCCATCCCCAGACCACCCAAAGGGTCCGAGCACACATCCTGGGGTTCATCATTTCCCCGCTGCTTTCCCTGAGCAGTGCTGGGAAACGGGCCATATGCCCGCAAGGCTGGTACGTGCCCGGGACAGACCTGCCCTTCCTGATTACCTTCCCAAGGCTTCTTGCTAATACGCTGCCTGCTCCGTCTCATTCCAGCGTGGGAATGAATCACCCTACCTTTGAATGCTCGCTCGAATTTTCCCTTCCTTCACAGGCTACCCAGAAACAAAAGAACCAAGAGCCAAAGGAGTGGGTGAGATATTCCCACCATGCTGCCTGCTCTGCTCCCACCCCATCTCACACAGTTTTGGCTGATGGCAGGTCCCCTCAACACCTTCATAGGGACCCCAGAAAAGCTAGCTCTCCTGCTGTGCAGGGCACAGGGCTCATCCCTTCCCGGGCTGCTGATGGGACCTCCACCTCCTCGAGGCAGACCCACTGCTACCCCCTCATGCAGACCCAGCGCTGTCCTTGGGCTGGGTGGGAATAATCTCTGGGAGGGGTGGGGAAGGGGGGTTGGATGTGTTTGTACTTGCCTTTCCTGGGATATACTGCAGGATTTTGTCTGTGGTCTTATCTCTCTCCCATCCTTCTTCTAGACCAAAAAAGCTGGGCAGTTTTTTCTTGCCATTTTGTCTACAGAGGGGAGAAAAACAAACAAAAAAAAACCAAACCACAAAAACACACATGTGAACCCAGATCTAGGCTGGGCATAGTCAATTCTGCCCAGAAATAAGGAAGCCAGAAAGCTAAGTAAGCAATTTGTCACGGGCTTTCTAATCATCCTAACCCAGTAAAGGGCTGATAAACAGCCTGGGAGAACTGTAATGGGGCTTCTGCTGCACTTGTTGGTGTTTCTTTGCTTTTTTTACATGTCTTTGCGTAACCAAACGATCAGCCAGGCTCATCTGTGTCTCCAAATCAGCGTGGGGACCAGATGTTCCATTGCAAAACACAGAGATGAAATCCAGTCGTGATGACTGTTCCGGAGCCATGTGTGCACATACACCGACATACATTCACAAACAGGTTTTATTTCTAACTTTGTGGTTTTCCTCTCTCTTTCCTTCCACTCCCAGCAAGGCCCCCAGCTCCTCCTTGCATGCACACCACTAACGACCAGTTACCGGTGCCATTTAAGAGGCACTGGAGCTGCTTTCTTGGGACTTCCCAGCAGCTGCTCTCTCTTTCAACCAGATTGCAGCATTCAGCTCAGCAGAAACCAGGCTTATCTCCACGGAGAGCCACAAGCGTGGGAAGCTGGGGACAGGAGGTGTTCTGGGGCCACTCCACCGCAGCCTCCTGATGTCAACCCTCCAGGCTCCAAATTCCCCAGATGATCCCCTCTCTTTTACCCCACGGTAACTCCACAGACTCCTCCAGGTTTGCTCCCGACTTATGGCAGCGCAGGAGACCAAGGGGACAGTTTCAGCATCTTGATGAGAAACCCCTCAGCCTGGCAGAGTTTATGGGGTTTGTCCCAAAGCCCTGCACACCTGCTGACCCCAACGGGGATGGAACAGGCAGGGGCGTGAGGAATCCCCCTTTCCCGGAGTGCTGGGGATGGTGAGGGCTGCGCTTCCCGCATGCTTGGGTAACGGCAGCGGCACTGTCACCGCGCTGATGGAGCACGGGCAGCGGGACGGGCAGGGAACCTCGCTCTTCACCCCCTGGCAGGCTCTATTTTGGGAAAGCCGTCCATCACTGGGGTACCTGGACGCTGCCCTGGCCAGCCCAGCACCAAATCCCCGGAGGATTTAACATTTTCTGCTGTGTCTTCCTTCAGGGTTAGAAACACGGCTCAAATCTCATGGGCAGAGTGTGGGGATTTGGGGCTTTCTCTCTAAAGTGAGTGTGAATGTTTGGTTTTTTTTCACAACACAGCACAGCAGCTCTGGACATCATGAATAAGAAAAAAAATCACAAGTGAAAACAAGGAGCGCCAGGCACTCTGCACCTTGCCCTG